TATATATATATATATATATATATATATATATATATACATACACACACACACACACACACACACACACACACACATATATATATTTATTATTATTCGACCACAGTCAACTTTGACAAACTGCCCAATTCAATGCTGGTGCTAAAAGATTTCCTTATTTATCAAACCACAGAACTTCACATAGTGCTCCACATTCCTCTTTTTTTTTTTATGAACTTTATTTAAACAAAGTGGGTACAAACAAGTTAGGCAATAAGAACATTATAATTCTAATATTATGGAAGGCATAGTAGAGGCAGATTTCAGAATGAAAATACAAAGTAACTTTGCACATTCCTAATTTTAGGGAAGAAACTGCTTCTGTAAGAGTTGTCCAAAAACACAACTTTATTGTCGTAATTTTATTAATTTCTGCTCGATGTTACGACTTTATTCAATAAAAGAAGAAAGAAAAAAACCCTCTAGCCTGGCTCTAATACTCCCTGGTAGAAATAAACATCAGAGCAACAAAATGAAAAATAAAGAGTGTGAGTCACTGAGTGGAGAAAGAATCGAGGTTCTCCTCATATCTATGGTGACGTGTCCCAGAAGGAGGGAACTGCTGCTGCAGCTGGAAGGCTAGGCAGAAAGTACTGAAACTATAAAAACACCTCCTGATAGGCTGCCTTTATGTTTAACAATAAGCCTCGATTATTCCCATTTATTTCACTGAGCTGATTTAAAGGTTAATAAAGGAACACAGACGCAGGTTTAGCTGTAGCTGGACTTCATCCCAGCTTTGACGCTGTGCCACGTCAATATGAGCTGAAAACTTTCTGTATTTATTTTAGGACGAATAAAAAAAGCGAAAATAAAAAACAGAACTCCTCTTAAGAAAGGAGATAAAGACTCACCGACAGATATGAACCCACAGGGGAAGGCCAGCAGGAAAAGCAGCAGGAGTTTAGATCCAAACATTTTGGCAGATCTGAAGTTAGTCACACATTAGCCTCTGGGAGAAAAGAGAGACAAGAGGCGCTGGAGAGGAGGAGAAGAGGAGCTGGACCCGCCTCTGGAGGGCGGAGCAGGCGTTCAAAGGCAACTCGCAAATCTGAGATTTCGTCAGATTCATTAAAATAGTATAAATGATAAACATAATGCATAATCAGGTGTGGGTAGAGACACCAAGGGGTTTTCTCAAGTTGGAGTAGCAATACGTTTTTTTTTTCAACCAACAAATTACTCCAGTAAGAGTAGAATAAAAATAATTTTTGGTAAAACACCTATGCAAGTATTGTAAATGTTGGCTCAGAAAATGGGATTTAAAGGAAAATTCCGGTTTTTAACACTTTTAGCCCATTTTCTGTAGTGTCCAGGATGCATTCGAATGATCGACACCAAAATTTTGACAATTTGTCCTGTCTCTGCTTTTTTTCTCATGCAGAATCCCCCCTGGCTGCTTCAGAATGGCTTCCATAGTGCATGTCCGATAATGTCCTTAAAACAACCTTAAACGTTCTTTTTTTTTAAATATGCTACTCGCCGGGTCGTCAGCGCTGTTCAA